CAGACACCTGCTGTGCGGGTATATTCCAGTCGCTGTTTCAGAACTGACTCAAAAACATATCGAAGAAGTTTACATCCTGGTAACAGTCGGTGCACTCTGACCATTGTACTAAGATCAGGCCTGCATCTGGTGAATGAACAATAATAGGTTTTCTAAACATAGCATAATACACTGAAGCAAATAAGAGAGAACCTGTCTCAGACCCTACATAGTGAGGTCCAGGCTCCATCATCTTCTGACATCTTTATGACAAACGTCTTGTCCACATGCTCAGCAACTACAATTTGACCAAAGGTATGGTTAACCCTTTACTTTACATTCCTACCCAGTTCTTTCATTATATTCCTTTTAACCATGCACCTTGATCATTAACAACAACAAAAACGGAAATTGCTGGAAAAGCTCAGCAGGTCTGACAGCATCTGTGGAGAGAAATCAGAGTTAATGTTTTGGGTCAAGTGAATCTTCCTCAGGACCTTTTACTTATTAACATTTTGCTTTTTGCTCCTATTTCTCCTACACAGAATCTCTTCTGGCTAAAGCATCAATGAAACCATATTCTTAGCCCTTTGCTTGGGACAGATAAACTCCATGTAGTTTTCCTCGGAAGGGATAAAGCTTGGCAAATTGGTTTCGCACCTCTGATAATCTGAATGCAATATGATGATTTTAGGGCTGGTCTGGAGTGAACAACATCATCTTTGGATCCAACTGCCTCCAAGACCTACTCAATCAGCATATTCCAGATCCTAACGCACTCAGAATTTTAAAAAAGTCATCTATCTTTTCATTAATTTACCAATCACCCTAAATTTGTATCCTTTAGTTCTAAACCTTTCCACCAAAGGGTATAGTTTCACTCTACAACTTCATGATTTTGAATACTTCTATCAAATTTCATCTTTCTCTCCTCTAAGGAGATCAACCACAGCCTCTGTAATCCAAGTGATTGATTCTAATGTGTGACTGAAATCTCTCATCCTTGAAGCCATTCTCATAGATATTTACTGCACCCTCTACAACACCATCACATCGTATCTGAAGTAAGTGCCCAGAATTGGACATATTACCCAACCTAAGGCTAAACCAGGCTCACAATAATTTCCTTGCTTTTGTTTGCCTCAATTTACAAATACCAAGATCCTGTATGTCATTGTAAAAGCTTTCCTAACCGACTCTGCTGCCTTCAATGATCTTCGCTCCCCAGGTCTGTCTGGTCCTGTACCAATTTTAGAAATGTATGATTGATTACATATTGCGTCTCCTTGTTCTTCCACCAAAATGTATCATTTCTCTGCACTAAATTTATATACATCCATCCTCCCATTCTACCAGCCTGGATATGTCATCTCAAAGTTTATAATTCACTACGCTTCCATGTCCACCTGCAAGTTTTAAAATTGCACTTTGCACACCCATTGGCAGTTTGACTGCTGTAGACTTTCTCCAATCTGAGAACCAACTGCCTAACATTACTCTGTTTCCTGCCTCTCAATTTTTTAAAAATTGATTCACGGGATGTGGACATCATTGGCCAGGCTAGTATATGGTGGCCATCCCCAACTGTCCAGAGGACAATTGAGAGTGAACCATGTTGCTGTGGATCTGGAGTCACATGTAGGCCAGACCAGGTAAAGATGGCAGATTTCTTTCCCTAAAGGACATTGGTGAACCACTCCTCCTTAAAGACAGTCCAATTGTTTCACTAATGCAACCTGTCTTTTCAGGTCTTTTGTACACCATGGCTTTCCTCTCTAATGTTAAATGTTAGGATCCATCCCCTTGTCAAGTTACTTTAAAATGTCCCCAACATCATGGGCAAATCAATCTGTAAGATCATTTGTCCTTGCTCTGATCAGGTGCAATGTATCCAGCCTGTACAGGTTCTACCTCCCACAGTATTGGCCCTAATGTCCCAAGAATCTACAGCAGTATCCTGTCTCCACCATCAACTCCACACTATCTTTCATCTCTTTTATCCTCTATTTCTATACTCGCTATCCAATGGTACCAGCAATGATCTGGAACTTATGACCTTTAGCTTCTTGCTTGTTTGTCTTTTTCCTACTCCTGAAAATCGTCTTGCAGGATGTCAACCATTTTCTACCTATACCAGTGAAACCACGTGAACCACGCTGCTGTCTGATTTCCCCCTTGACCCCAATGAAGATGTTAAAGAAAGTGTTATGTTGACTTTGATGACATCTTCACTGCCATCCCAAAAGAAGAAAATCTTGGATTTTTATGCCAGGGCAGACCAAAAGAACCATTGGGAAAAGCAGCATGGAAATAAACAGTGCAAAAGGTGTCTTAAGCTGAGAATATGTGCTTAGCAAGGCTTCGTTATAAGAAATCCCCTCTTCCACCAGAATTACTAGTATAAATTCACATAGGAGGATTCTAGATCAAATCCCAGCATCTTCAGGATTACGTTATTGTTCGAACCAAATATCTAAGTGATGTCTGAATCACTTGATCCAACAGGGCACTGTGGCATGCTCGAGAGATCATCAAATTCTTTGATCGAGTCCAAGATAATACAAGAACCAAACATTCAAGAGGAAGAATATCCAACAATCTGAGGACAATTGCTACTAGATCCACTGGCTCCATGAAATTAGGTTTTCAAGTCATGCATTTCAGTGAGCTGATCATAATTGGGATGTTTATGAGATAGAATTCATTCCCTACCACCAACCCCCCACTCCCACACCATTGTGTATCTCCTAAATTGGTTCCTACCCATTTTGTGAATATTATAATGCCTCAATATTGCATCACATGTCAAAACGGTTGGATCAGGAGCCAGGAACTTATTAATCCACAAGCAAGTCGCAAGGCAATCAGCTAGCAGAAAAGAACTCTGTTTCAAAATGGTCATCTCAGTCAGTGAGAAGGGGCTAATTCATTTTACATGGAAGATTATATTTATACAGGAGTTTGGCTGAAGTTTCATCTGAAACAACCAGAAACTTCCAAGAACCAAAAGAGAACCTTTCCAGCCTACAACAATTTTGTTACCTCAATCTTAAGGACTGGCTAAATAAATGACTGACTTATTTGTTGCTACTCTGTTAGTAATCTAAGGCATATTACATCTCTAGGAATCATCTTTTCTTTTATGTAATGCTGAGAGTTTGGGAAGTGGGTGTTTTGATGTGGCAATTTTGTTCTGCAAATAGAAACTTTGGTTTTGAACTTACAAGAAAGTTTGGTTGTATGTGTTGTTTAACATCACAGCATGAGAAAGGATTAAGTGCTCCTTCTCTCAAACATGCATCTTGTTACAGCTAACCAAGAAGTGAGAAAGAGGGCAGGTTATCCTATACCCCTCTCCATGTCCATTACAGTTCTCATCATGGGTAAATAGTTGAGAGACTTCATGCTGCCATGAAGATACAAGATGATAGCCATGTTCCTCTCGCGTACTGAGATTGTCAAGGAGAAAAATGTGTAAGCACTGTGCTGGGATTTTCCTCAGAGAGAAATTGAATCATTGAAAATTGTAAGACACATCCAAGAGACCAGTTGCAAAGTACGATCAAAATACTGATATTATTGTGTAATAAAAACCAACAGATTGCAGGATTAGCATACTGTTACTCAGCTCTTATCTTTATGGATTCTGTACATAGCCTTTTGTTAAGAAAACAAGCTGACATAACTGTTACTACAATCAGTATGGTGTCATTGAGAAAATGATGTGCAACTAAAGCCCTAAGGATTTGTCTTTGAGGTCCCTCACACAACAAAAATGACAGCTTTTAACTTCTTTACTGACAAGTAAAGGGTTGATACTCAGTGTCTGGTTTATTTAAAAGCACATCAGGAAAATAAATGCAAATTATTGCTTTTGTTTGGCTTTTCTTTGCCCTCTCCCTCTTAAATTGGTCAGAGCTCATGCATTATGCCTAATGGTTATGGATGTGCATTGACGATACTCACAGAAAACCCCAGAAGCACCAATCAGGGGCCTTTCTCTGGATTTATATTGAGTGAACACAAATCTTCTTGGACTAATGTCAAGGTAAAGCTTTCTAAGTGGCAGGAGAATGAATGAAAAAGGGAAACTATACTTTGGGAGCTAGCAAAGAATGTGTTCGCTTTTTACCAATCTCACGTGATCAGGTTGTGTTTCATTAATACTTTTAGATTGATGCAGAACATTCTGATGAACCGGATTGCTTTTTTTCAGTGAAACACCAAATGCTGAGTGCCATTCTCTAATCACTGCGAGAAAAGTGTACTTGAAGGGTAAAATATCACCGTACTTGTAGAAAAGGGAGTAATTCATAGAAAATAAATGTTTTCTTTGGTCAGAAATAAGATGGACGCACAAAGTTATGCAATACAGAAACATTTTGGTAACTTCAAATTCTGGAAATCAAATGAATGTTGAATGGGTCTATTGAAATGAATCCTTGTGTTATGACTTGTGTTATAAACCAGACATAAAGCCATGTACCAATGGGTTCTTATCCAGGGTATAGTCACAATACAATCTCAACCAAGATTGATATTTGAACTTTGCTATTGTGTATGGATTTTTTAAAACATGGGATGTAGGTGACATGTTTGAATAAATAAAACAAAGAATTGTGGATGTTGTAGACGTGAAACAAACAAAAACAGAAATTGCTGAAAAATCCTTGGTACATCTGGCAGCATCTGCAGAGAGAAAACAGAATTAACATTTGAGTCTAGTGAACCTAATCTTACTGAATGTCTCCAATTTTCATTTTTGTTTGTTGAATAAAGGTTAGCCATGTCAGTAAGACAGTGTCTGTGTGATATAACGGTGTTTCATGTCATGGTGGGGGGAAAGGGAACAAGAATCCAGTATCGACCATTTAAACAAATTTTCCTTTCAGATACTGCAGTATAGTAAGTACAACCATCAGAAATTGCACAAATTCACTTTCCGTATCCAGAAGAAAATCACAGGGAGAAAGCAAAGGGAAATTGAAATATTGTAAAATCTTTTTATGCATTTCTTTCAGAAAATGGCTGTGTCTGTAGTCCCAGTGCAGGCGCTGACAATGGCTATCCATCTGTTTCTGGCTGGAAGCGTTTATGGAGGTGCCTACTACCAAATGAAGCAGGTTCCACAGCAGGTTCCACAGATGCAAATGCACGGACAGGTCCCACACATGATGCATCTTAGGAAAGAAGGCCCTCGCATGCAGCACATGGGCAAGGAGATGCCACGCTTGCCCGTGCATAGAAAAGATTTGCCATATATGCACCACTATGGAAAAGAACTTCCTCAAATGCATGTGTTTGGAAAAGATGTGATGCCTCAGAAGGAAGCAAAGGGTAAGACTTAAAAATTGTACTTTAATTCTTAGCTTATTTAATTTTGTGTGAAGATGGCAGGAAGATCCCACATTCATTCTTGTATCTGCATTGTTTACTGATGTCAGGCAAGGTGCTGAGTTGGAATTGTTTTTAAGGCTGTTATTAACACCAGTCCCTTTTGATGTCAGGCCAGGTGGATAGAGTGGTTAAGAAGGCATGTGGTATAATTGCCTTTATTAGTCTAAGCATAGAGTTTAATTGCAAAGAGGTTATACTGGAACTGTATACAACTTTGGTTAGATCACAGTTAGATATTGTGTGCTGTTCTGGAATCCACATTGCATTAGGGGTGTGATAGCGTTGGTGAGGATGCTAAGGAAATTTATCAGGATGTTGCATGGTCTGGAAAGTTTCAGTTATGAAGGGAGATTGGACAGACTCGGGTTGTTTTTCCTTAGAGCAAAGAAGATTGAGAGGGGCCATGATTGAGATTTGTAAAATTATGAGGAGCGTAGATAGGGTAGATAGGAAGAAAATTTTCCCCTTAATGAAGGGATCAGTGACGGGGGGCATAAATTTACGGTAAGGGGCAGAAGGTTTAGGGGAGATGTGTGAAAACATTTTTCAGTCGGAGGGTGGTGGGAATCTGGAACTGATTGTCTGTAAGGGTAGTAGAGCAGAAATCCTCATAACATTTAAGTATTTAGGTGCCAAGGCGTACAAGACTCTGGGTTAAGAGCTGGAAAATGGGATTAGAATAGGTGGTTGTTTTTGATCATGCTAGACACAGTTGTTCATAGGGCCCTTTTCCATGCTGAAAATCTGTATGACTCTATGACTATGACTCTATAACTGTTGTAAATTGTTATTACCTCCAGTGTTGTGGGACTGATAGGGCTCCTATACAATGGAATCTATAATTAGCCTCAGATATTGCCATATCTGCTAAGCTCCTCTGGTTTCTGGTTTCTGGTTTTGCATAAAAAAGACCCATACTGGCTTTCATTAATTAACTCTCACGTTTTTCAAAGTAACCATTAATTTTGCAACACATTATTGTTTCTAGAAGTTTTCCCTTACTGAAGTTAAACTGACTGTCCTGTTGTAGCTGGGCTTTTCACCTTTACTTGAACAAGGATATAATAATGTAATAAATAAAAACTGAAAGAACTGCGAATGCTGTAAATCAGAAACAAAAACAGAAGTTGCTAGAAAAGCTCAGCAGGTCTGGCTGCATTTGTGAAGAGAAATCAGAGTTAACATTTCAGGTCCAGTGACCCTTCCTCAGACCCTCTGTTAACTATAATATGTTAACTATAATATTGTAGCATTGGGCTGAAAAATGATATTTTCAAACCAGACCATTAAAGGTTGATTGTTAAGGATTAATTGGACATGACAATGAGCAATTGAAATAAAGGGGGAAAGTACATGGGATACAGGCCTAACGCAAACATGGCCTATTTTAACTTGGGGAAGTCTGCCTGACCTTCAGGGTAGGTCGGAACTATCTGCATGAATGGTCCACATGGGGCCACCTGGACTTGTTTTACACCTATTTTTGAGGCTGGAAAAGGACTGAAGTTATTACAAAGTGGGGATTCAATATGTAACCTAAGATTCCTTACTTGGTCTCCTTACTTGAGAAAGTATGTACTGGCACTGGAGGGGGTGCAAAGGAGGTTCACTAGGTTGATTCCGGAGTTGAGGAGGTTGGCTTATGAGGAGAGACTGAGTAGATTGGGATTATATTCATTGGAATTCAGAAGATTGAGGGGGGATCTTATAGAAACATATAAAATTATGAAGGGAATAGATAAGATAGAAGTACAGAGGATGTTTCCACTGGCAGGTGAAGCTAGGACAAGAGGGCATAGCCTCAAGATTAGAGGGAGCAGATTTAGGACTGAACTGAGAAGGAATTTCTTCACCCAGAGGGTTGTTAATCTGTGGAATTCCTTCCCCAGTGAAGTAGTTGACGCTACTTCAGTAAACGTTTTCAAAAAAAAGGTAGATTTTTTTTGAACAATAAAGGAATTAAGGGATACGGTGAGAACGTGGGTAAGTGGATTTGAGTCCACGAAAGGATCAGCCATGATCTTATTGAATGGCAGAGCAGGCTCGAAGGGCCAGACGGCCTACTCCTGCTCCTAGTTCTTATGTTCTTAGTTCTTATTCAGAATAGTAAAAATATCAGTGACTTTGCCCCACTCATTGGACTTCACACCATCAGGCTGGAATTTGTGAGACCAGTACTATAGAATCTCAGAGCTCTAAGTGCCACCATAGACAAAGTCCCTGATGGATAGAAGACAGTGTGAGACTCGCTTATCTGTGTATATATATGTGTATATTATGTACTTTAAGTTAATAGATTCACTCATTAGTTTGCATATGTCTCTAAATATATATTAAGTAGATTAAGCTAATATAGTTACTTCCTATTTAAGTGTATGTGTCATCTTATAATCATTATGATCATACCATAAAGAACCCATTAGATACTTTCGACATAACCATACAGACATTTGCAATTCTACAGTCTTCTGGGCCAGCCCCAAGTCCAAAGAAGACTGTAAGTTTACAGCCAGTGTTTTGGCAATTTCGATTCTCGTTTCCTTTTGTATGAAGAGATGGTGAGTAGGTTACGCCTGTACTCATTGGAATGTAGAAGAATGAGAGGTAGTATAGAAGAAATGGAAAGCGTCAGACCAGAGGGCATAATCTCAGCATAAGGATCGCACATTTAAGACAGAGGTGAGGCAGAATATCTTCCCTGTGAATCTGTGGAATTCTTTACCACAGAGAGTTTTGAGATTGGTCCATTGAGTATGTACAAGGCTGAGATAGACAGATTCTTAATTGGTAAGGGAATCAAGGATTATGGGGAAAAGGCAGGAAAGCGGAGTTGAGGATTATCAGATCAGCCATGATCTCATTGAATAGTGGAGTAGGTGTGATGGGCTGAGTGGCCTACTTCTGCTCCTATATCTTTTGGTCCTCTGCCTCTATGCATAAGTACCCTTTTTGGTCCCTAATGGGATCCACTCCCCCTCTAATGACCCTTAAATATTTATATATCTACAGAAGACATTTAGCTTTCCTTTCATGTTGGCTGTAAGTCACTTTTCCTTCTCCTCCTTTTCTTCTCTTATTTGATTTTTACTTCCCCTCTGAATCTTCTGTATCCAGCTTCCTTCTCAATTGTATTCTCTACCACCCATCTTTCATAAGCACACTTTTTCTCCCCCCTATCTTTTATCTCTCTATGATCCAGGGAGTTCAGGCTTTGACCGTGCCCTCTTCTTTGAAAGTAGCCCATTGCTCAACTATTGTCTTTCCTGCCAAACTTTGACTCTAATTTATTCAGCCCATATGCATTCTTATCCCATCAAAGTTGGCTTTCTCCCAGTTTATTATTCTTACTTTGGATTGTTCTTTGTTCTTTTTTGTAGTTAACCTAAACTTTATGGTGAAGTGATCTATGTCCCCTAAATCATCTCCCACTGACTCTCTATTTACATTTTATCACCTCATTGCCAAGAGAAATGTCTAGTAATGCCTCTTTTCTTGTTGGAATACAATTTCTTTCTTGGAAACACCAATGTAATTTTTATTTTAACCTGTCTTTTTCACTCCTACTATCTCAGTCAATATTTGGATAATTAAAGTCCCCATTATAACTACCCTATAACTATATTTTGCACTTCTCAGTAATTTCCTTGGAATTTTTTCTCTACTTTCTTCCCATAGGTTGGTAGTCTGTAGAAACCACTGAACAATGCAAGTACACATTCTTCATTCCTTTGATCTAGATAGATTCCTCCTGGATGACTCGGGGACATTTTTTTCTGTCCAGCACTGCAATTGGTCTTTAGTCAAATCACCACTCCTCTCTCTTTTCTTCTTTTCTGTTATACCCTCAATGCAGGAACATTTAAAGCCAATCTTGCCCTTCCTGGAGATAGATCTCTGTAATAGTCACCATATTGTATTTTCATATCAAGCCTCATGATTTTATACATTTCAATTAAATCTTCCATCAACCTCTACTGTGTCAATGAGAAGAAGCCTATGCTATCCAATCTTTCCATATAACTAAAATTTCTCAGACCAGGCAACAAACTCATGAATAAATTTTATCCCTTCTCTAGTGCAATCACAACACTTATATACTGTAGTTACAAGAACTGAATGCAGCACTCCGACTGCAGCATTTTAAAAAAATAATGTATGGGATGTGGGTTTCCTTGGCTGGGTCATTATTTATTGCCTATCCCTAATTGCTGATAAGAATATGGTGGTGAGCTGCCTTCTTGAATCACTCCAATCCATTACAGGAGGTAGACCCACAATGCTGTTAGGGAGGGAGTTGATGGGGTTTTACACAGTTCTAGAAAAACCTCCTGGGCTGATATTCTATGTCTTGATTCATAAAGATAATTATACCGTCTGCCTTCTTAACCACTTTACCAGTCTGATATCAGTTATGGGTCAGTTGGAAGTTCTCTTGCCTCCAAGTTACAAGGTTCTGGGTTCACGACCCATTCAAGGCCTTAAGCGAAACAAGTAAATACTGACAATCGGGTGTAGAACTGAGGAGGTGCTGTTTTCTGGATTGGGTATTAAACCAATGTCTCACCAACTGGCTTGGTGAATACAAGGGTGTCCTGGCACTATTTTGAAGGAAATATCTCCTGTATATCCAATACTGATCCATTAGGCAACATCACAGAAATAGATTCTGATCATTGATTGGTGGTTGTTTGTAGGAGCTTGTAATGTGTAAATTTACTGCCATATTTCCTGTAACTGTGATTACACCTCTCTAATATTTCATTGACTTTAAAGGACTTTGAGTTGTCCAGTGATTGGGAAGAGTACTATAGGAATCCAAATCTATGCTTTTCTAACTATCCAAACATCTTCAGAGATCTGTGGACATACGATTCAAGGTCCTTCTGTTCCACTTGGCATTTACCAGAACTAGTCATTCTCAAGTCTTCCAAGTTTTTATT